CCAAAGGAGCCTGGGGCCGGGGGGACTAGTATTTATTTCTTAGAAATGCATCCTTGTTTTTTAACCTACCAGGANTTTGAAATGGCAACCCCAAAGGAGCCTGGGGCCGGGGGGACTAGTATTTATTTCTTAGAAATGCATCCTTGTTTTTTTACCTACCAGGATTTCTGTTTACAAATTTATGTTCCAAGTACTACTGTCTTGATTGATCAAGTGTTACTGGACTGCAGATTGGAACAAAACCATATGTGCTTGTGGGCTGGGCTGGGCTTACATTTCAGCAGTTATTCCAATTAATTTGAACAGCTGGCTAGCACACATAGTCGGAAGAAGCTGCCAACTGCATCATCATCCAGTGAAGAAGATTATCACCCCATCCAATCCATATAATAAATTCTTATTTGCTGGTTTGATGAGTAAAGAAGATTATCATCCAGTTTGGTTGGTTATTATTATTATTATTTTTTTTTTATCCATACAAAAACAGATAAATAATTCCAATATTTTTTCGTTTGACAAGGGAAGAAAATTGAATCACAATCAGCATCCCACGTGTCAAACTCCTGACCACTGGACAAAAAATGGACGTGGCAACACTCAGAAAAAAAATATCTATCCCGCTCTCTCTCTCTCTAATAATCTACTACGTTCCCACCTCTCTCTCTCTCTCTGTGGGTCCACCCACCCTCTGGAGGACGATCAATGACCACAACATGTTCCCGGCGGACCCACACACTATAACCGGTTCTGGCTAAAATCAAAATCAAAATCAAAATCAAAATGGGTGACGAGAAATGCACCAGCTCATCTTCATCAACCAAAAGCCAATGGCTACCCACCTTTTGATAAGCTCCTTATAAGACATCCTTCGACTAGCGACGGGACTTTTGCACCAGATTTATTACTCATACATAGACACACACACACACACAGAGACAAGAGAGAGAGAGAGAGAGCGAGAGAGTATGTCCATCGTCATAGGAAGGAAGGAAGACTGTGTGGATCGATTATGATCCACTAAGTAGTTTAGCGGCTTTCCACTTTGTAGATAGTTTACTTTTTTGGTTTTGTCCAAAAATTATTGCTGACAGACAACGAAGGAGATCAAATGGATTTTGCTGGACCTACTTCGTTCCTACGTACTACTGTTTCAACTTGTGGCTGACCACAAATTAGGGCTTTTGTTTTGTTTTGTTTTCGGTTTGCTTATTGTTGGAACGTTGTGCTTCTTGGATGTGGAAAATAAGTGAAATAGTGTCGAGCGGCGAAGAAGAAAGGATGGACGTGGAACTGAAGAAGGAAAATGAGGAGAAAAAGAAGACGAACAAGAAAGCAAGCTCGTTATCGGATATGAGTAAGCGGGAGAGTTATCTTAATCTTCCTCGGATGCTTCTTAGAGTTCTGCTGGTAGAAGCGGACGACTCCACTCGTCAGATCATTGCTGCTTTGCTTCGTAAATGCAGTTACACAGGTGCTTTCCTCCTCTTAATTTTTTTTTTTGTGCTTCTTTCTATTTATCAAGAAGTTTTGTTTTTGTGCTTGCAATTGGGTTACAAATGAAAAATCAATCTTGTTTAGGTTGGCTGGCTAATAGGNTTTTTTTTTTGTGCTTCTTTCTTTTTATCAAGAAGTTTTGTTTTTGTGCTTGCAATTGGGTTACAAATGAAAAATCAATCTTGTTTAGGTTGGCTGGCTAATAGGGAGCGTTTGACTTTCGACTCCTAGTAGCCTTGTGGACTGTTCCTCTTCTTATTTTAGTTTTCGTATTTTTCTTTACATTTCAGTTTTCTTAACATACATGGTCTGATGATCAATGATAAAGTTGCCCAAGAGTTTGAATAATTATGACCAACTTCANTTCTTATTTTAGTTTTCGTAATTTTCTTTACATTTCAGTTTTCTTAACATACATGGTCTGATGATCAATGATAAAGTTGCTCAAGAGTTTCAATAATTATGACCAACTTCAGCATTGTCCCTGATTGTTCTCATGTCATAGACAGCAAGAGCATCTGAGGGTCATTCTCATTCATTGGGGGATTAAACGTGTGAAAATTATGATACTTGTTCTGTTTGACTGGGTACGGAGTTGGTCTTGATAGAGTATGATTCATGTAACAGCACAGTGACCTTGCACATATTAAGTCATGAACAGCTCACCTGAGTGATTATACTGCTATATATTTTGTAATTTGGATTTAATTTCCAATAAGTTTCATTAATTTTGGTTGAACATGGCCATGCTTGACCAATAGAGATATCTGTCTGCTTCAGATGTCCCTCTTGTGTGTGCTTATCCCAACTAGTGTTATGGATGGTATAATTCCAGACTCTAATGATGTTGTGTTTCCATGTGAATGTTTGTCAAATACCATATACAAGATTTCATTTTATTTTACATTTTTCAAATGGTTTCTTCACTGTCATTGCTACCTTGATTCAATCCTCCAATCAACAAGGTGAATCAATTTGAAAACTTAAATGTGTGCTTTATTGTGATAGAATTTTCTTATTCTTGTTGGAGAACCATTTTACCCTTGCAATTTTTCAATGCACAAGTCCTGTTGTCAACACCCATTTGTTTCTTATGTTTATTTTGTTCAGCATATGAATACAAGTTATCACATGGGTTATGACATCTTGAACTTGTGAGGGCTTGGGCTTCTGGAACTAATCAAAAGTACTATGTTTGCTTGAGCAGTTGCTGCTGTCCCTGATGGTTTAAAGGCATGGGAGACATTAAAAGGGGGAACTGACAAGATAGACCTCATATTGACGGAAGTGGAGTTGCCATCGATCTCTGGATATGCGCTTCTCACCTTAATTATGGAGCATGACATTTGTAAAAATATTCCAGTTATCAGTATGCTGTCATGACCATATATTTACTGTTTTTCTGTTTCATCAGTTCGATATTTGACATTACTTGAGTCTGGGCTTACACAACTCTTAAATACTTGTGATCATGCAGTGATGTCGTGTCATGATTCAATTAGTGTGGTCTTGAAATGCATGTTAAAAGGCGCTGCTGACTTTCTCATTAAGCCTGTGAGGAGGAATGAGCTGAAGAACCTATGGCAGCATGTTTGGAGAAGACAAATGGTATGCTCCATTTTCGCACTTATCTTTTCCTATTCGTACTGTGTTTTGGTTCTGTTTATATGATTCAAAAGGCAACCTTGATTTGAATAGCAAACTGCTGGGCATGTTCCTCACAATAGAACAGCTGCAAAACGCAAAGTTGAAGCCGTCTCTGAAAACAATGCTTCAAGCAATCATTCGAGTGATTGTCTGGCTTCTACCAAGAAAATAAATGAATGCAGTGAGAAAGGAAGTGATGCTGAAGTGAGTATTGATTCATCTTGTAGAACTAAGTAAAGTAGTACAAATGTACAATATCTCTGCCGTATATCGTTTTGAATCTATTGATGCTAGGATTGCTGTTTTTTTTTGGGTTTTTGCATGGAAATTTTCTGCTAGCGAGTGTTAAGATCTTTGGTGTACGTCTCTTGTTAATGCAATGAAACAAAGGAAAGTAACTAACTTTTAGTATCTCTTTTTGAGTCGTTTAGTGCAGAATGATTTAATCTATTCTGGACTTGGATTGCACAATTGACCATGAAGGAATTTAGTTTTCTTTTCTATGTACATTCCCAGATCAATGTTGTGGTGTATATGGAGCCACTAATATATCGAGTAAATTTTTTCTCAGATTAGGTTGGCTTCATGAAGTTTTACGAAGATTGCATGTTTTGTCACCTCTTGTGCAGAGCTCTTGTACAATGCTTTACTTGGAAGCTGAGGATGCATACATGGAAAATATGCAGGGTTTGTCACAGATAAATTTTGAAAGAGCATCATCTGATGAAAGCAATATAGCAAGGCATGAAGCGTGTGGAGAATTAGTTGAGAAATTGCTTATGTCTAATAATGAAACAGGAGGTATGTCACATCTTTTCTTTTCCTTCCGGTGCTAGTATTGCACTAATCATTAGTCTACCATTTATCAGCTCGGGCATCTGAGAAAACGATTTTTTACAGGAAAATCAAGTGTGTCTGGATCAGATGTTGCTTCCTGCAATGAATGTTATAGTACAACTGGACTCAGATCGGGAGAAGACCATACATTGAATAAAAATGCAGGTGCGTGTCTAGAAAGTTATGGAGACTACAGAAATATCATTGGTGAGAATGACCGGTGCACTGATGAACTTGTTGAGCCCTCAAGTGAAGCCATTGACTTGATCAGCAAATTTGAATACAACCCAACAGACATTGCTGGATGTTCCGGCAGTGTTGCTCCATACTTAGAACTTTCTTTGAGAGGATCCTATCCCAGTTGCTCAAAAGATGTACGGACTAACCAACGGCATACTCTACACCACTCCAACGTCTCTGCCTTTTCACGGCAAGTCACTCTTTCAATAATCTTAGTATAGTCATATCTGGATGGTTCTTAGTACAGTCATATAGTCATATCTGGATGGTGCTGAAGTTGAGATTTGAAAAAGGCAACATTGGGTTATTTTTTTTCAGAGTACCCATGCTTTCAATTGTTTCTCACTGCCTTTTGTTTTATTGTAAAAGTGCATGTGTTATACAGTTATTGACGATCAGTGTACCAAATAAAAACAAAACAAAACAAAACAAGTGGACTGTTGGTGTAGTGCCATCCTGTCAGTGGTGATGGTAATAGGGTCACTGTTCTTATGGTGGAGCCGAGCGGCTGTCTAACATTAAAGTCAGTAGCCTCCGCACAGGTAGCGTAGCTGGCAATGAATATAGTTGTGGACCTGTGGTGATGACCATAATGGCAAATATTATGTTATGTCAATGAAGACTATATTTTGCCTGATATGTTGACCTCTATATATGTAAATTTATACATGTATTTTGCACTATTGTCTTGCTTAGATGTCTGCAGACTCCATAGCAGTAATATGGTTGTCAATGAAGATGGTTGTGGAGGTGACAATGATGGTGAAGATTGTGTGGTGTCGATGAAGTATATTTGTTTACCCAATANCTCCATAGCAGTAATATGGTTGTCAATGAAGATGGTTGTGGAGGTGACAATGATGGTAAAGATTGTGTGGTGTCGACGAAGTATATTTGTTTACCCAATTTGCTTACCTCCATGGCCTCAACTGTTTATATATTTTTATCTGTATTGTTTTGCAAAATGTCGTGTTGTTTGGTGTTATCAAGAACATGTCTGTCTTTTTATTCTTATTCCTTCCTGGATGCTTTCTTACCTGGTTTTATTCTTCATCTTAAAAGGTTTAAATATGTAATTTCAATGCATGCACCCAAAGCAAGGTTTGTGTTGGTGTCCTCACTGAAATATTCATTTCATCTGGTGAAACAAGATTTTGTGCGGTTAAGTGACTCAATTTTAAATGCCACCTGATAGTGGAATTGTAATTAACTCTTCATTTCTATCAGCAGGTATGTTAATAGGAAGATTCTGCAACAACTTTTTCCAACATGGGCCGGTAATTGTGCTGAACCAAAGGAGGTTGCAAGTACTGATCAATTGCCTCAAAACTACTCTGGTGTATATTTGTCACATAATGCTGCTTTGAGTAGTAGTCAGGAAAACATGACCACTACGNTTCTGCAACCACTTTTTCCAACATGGGCCGGTAATTGTGCTGAACCAAAGGAGGTTGCAAGTACTGATCAATTGCCTCAAAACTACTCTGGTGTATATTTGTCACATAATGCTGCTTTGAGTAGTAGTCAGGAAAACATGACCACTACGGTTGGCAGCCAATCTAGACAGAGTAAAGCAGCATTTCCAGGCTCTCAACTTAGTTTCATTCCTACCACTCGGGAAAGGTTTGATAGTTTGTGTGCCTACCATGGCCACATGTTTCCGCCCATACTTCATACTCATTCAGTGTTTCCCCCAGTGTGGAGTTCCAAATCAGCTGGCCAGCTGGCCCCTTTGCTGATGAGTGACTCACTTCATTCTGTTTCTGATATTAACAACTCAATACATGGTAATCACACATTTGATGAAACTATCAACCACTCTGCCGGCCAGACTGTGCAACAGGAAGATATCAATGTGGAGCCGGCAGAAGTATTGACCCCTGGTCTGATTGGTGACAGTGGCTTCTTTGATGGTGTCAGAAGTAACCTTACCAACGGTGTGTGTGAAAACATATGCGATACAGTTGATGGCAATGCCACTCTAGCTGCATCAGTTTCTAGAGGCATTATTTCTGAGGCTGCTGTGAATGACAGCCATCTCATTGTTCAGGATGAGCTGAAAAGATTGGATTCTCTCTGCTCCACTCAAAGGGAAGTAGCTCTATTAAAATTCCGTTTGAAACGAAAAGATCGATGCCNATGGCAATGCCACTCTAGCTGCATCAGTTTCTAGAGGCATTATTTCTGAGGCTGCTGTGAATGACAGCCATCTCATTGTTCAGGATGAGCTGAAAAGATTGGATTCTCTCTGCTCCACTCAAAGGGAAGTGGCTCTATTAAAATTCCGTTTGAAACGAAAAGATCGATGCTATGAGAAGAAGGTATGTTCTTCATTATATTTCTTGAATTGGCCATGTGACATCATGGATGGATGAACGATTTTAATGACAGAACTCTGTCCCAGGCATATTTTTGATACTTATTTAGTATTAATGCATCATGGTACGGTGATCGAGTGCCATCACCACTCTCGTGGTGATTTCATCATCAACTTTTTCTTTTTTATTGTATAAGTGAAGATAATGGTGTGGAATTCCACATGTAATTCTTATACTGATATGCATACCTGTGGTTGACTGTGGTGAAAACATCATATGTAAGGCATGATCCATGTATATAGATATTTTAGATTCTTCATTGTGAAATTTCCATACACAGGTTCAATATCAAAGCAGGAAAAGACTTACTGAGCGGCGTACTGGTGTGAAAGGACAGTTTGTACTGGTGTGAAAGGACAGTTTGTGCGTCTGGTGCAAATTGGATCTTCTCCCACTGATTTTGATGGCGGCCCGTGAGACTTGCCAAGGCTCTTTTGCTTCATCCCTTCTATGGAATGCTGCAAAAGTTTGTTTTCCTAATGACTTGGTAGCATTTGTAGGAAGAAAATGTGATTGTTTGGTGCACAGGTTGTTTGTGTGTTTTTGTATAATGAGAGCTAATATGTAGAAGCGTGTAATGTAATGAGACAATGAAAGGGAAACGCATGCAAGTTTATCTGACGTAGCTGTAGGTTTCAACTTGATATTTTTCATTTTAAGGGGGGTAGTGTTGTGATTATTTAAGTGTGCTGATCCAGCCTCAGTTTCTTTTGTGTGTATCTATGTACATTGTTCTATCTTCATGGAAGTGAGTGGGTTGGTTGGGTTAAAATATATATATATATATATTTCTTTAATTCTTATTGTTATTTGGAAGGGATGGCGAATATTGATATTCGAATATGTAAGGTATTAGTTAGATTGATGAATAAACTCTTACCCTTGTTGGAAGGAAATTCTAACTTATTTTACACAGACTACAAAATGAAGGAAAGCATCTTCAAGGAAAATGTTGCATGGAAAGTAATGGAAGTTGGTGCAATATGGCATTCATACGTGTGCTTTTGGAATTTGGATCCCAGTGGCCTGGTGACGAAGCATGAACCCAGTCCAACTGATACAAGGCCACGTACTGACTAACCAAGGCAGCAGCCGAAACTTGAAGATTTTGCCTTTTTTTTTCTTGCGGTGGTGCGAATGAGACACCCTTTCTTTCGAGAGGCGTCTTTCTCTTTTGTCGTTTCAATTCTACTTTCGGCCGCTCACAATACGTACATATAATAAAAGGCTCTTAAATAAAGAATTTCAGAAGATCAATTAGTAGTATGATGAAAAGGATTTTCTAAACCTTTTCAGGGAGGATCGCCCTTAGCCAGTAGCCACCCACTCTTGATCAATCATCGGCAACATATCCTTTCGACAACGTACGTTTTAGTCATCCATGCCAAATCCAAAACTGGGATTCAATAATCAAATTTATCTAATCCATATATAATTGAATTCGCTAATATTTGTTTTCTCTAAACTTCCTTTACCAATATTTGTTCCAAACAATTTCAATCCACTTGACATACCCATGGATTTAGAAAGAAAACCAGTGGTGTAGAGATTAATTAAATTAATGAGGTTGAAAAAAAAATTATATCTCAAATTTGGTTGGGTGGGACTGGGACTGGGACTGGGATGCTTTTTCTCATAGAAGGAAAAAAAAAAAAAGGTGCTTAGATCAACTGGTCAAAGTTTGTATCTGGCCTTCATTGATAGATGATCAATNCAATCATCGGCAACATATCCTTTCGACAACGTACGTTTTAGTCATCCATGCCAAATCCAAAACTGGGATTCAATAATCAAATTTATCTAACCCATATATAATTGAAAAAGTAGCTTGGATATATGATAAGGATTTCTCTTCTTTTATACTGGGACTAATGGAGAGTAACTAGTAGGTTAGGGACTTAGAGGCTGAAACGTAGGTGTTGCCTATAAAATAAGAAGTGTTAGAAAGCATTAGAGAATGTATTATTTAGATAAATATTTGAAATAAAATTATATATAATATAGATTGTTTTTGACAAACTAAATATAGCATAATGTTAGATTAGAGAGTATTAAACTGTTATGACTATATAATCTATCATTTAATATTTCAACCAAACGACCCATCACCTACTTTATTTAATCTTGCAGGGCAATAGCTTATCACATTTGTCGTCGGTGCAAGTTTATCTTTCCCCTTTTTTGACCTAAAGTAGGGTACAAGTGCATAAGCCATAAAGATTTTATCGGGTTTCTCTTTCCAATCTTTTATGTAAAGAGTAATGACAAAGTAAAGCAAATTAATGGCAAAGAAAAAGGAAAAGAAAAAAAAGGGGTTATAAGTATATTTAGTCCTTAAAATATGTATTTTTTCTCGTTTTAAATTTTATTGTATCACTTTTTGTCGATTTAGTTTCTAAACTTTTTAATTTGTATCATTTTAATCTCTGTATAGACAAACGTTTAAATTTTTAACAAAATGATGACATGTTATACTCTCTAAAAATAATGACACGTAGTCGTTTTCGTCAAAAAACTTAGTGAATTGTTTGAATAGGGATCAAAGTAGTGCGGATGAAATACTTTAAGGATCACATTGATAAATAAAATTAAATAATGAGGAATAAATTAGCAAAATATATATATTTTAAAAATAAAAAATACTATTAACCTAAAAAAAATGTCATCAGGAGAAAGAAAAAAAAACATACATAACAAAAATGGAAGAGTGCGAAAGTGAAGACCCTCCCAATGGTTCAAATAAAATTAATTGAAAGAAAACAACTTTAGTTTGGAATATATACATTTTTCCTGTCCCTTTCCCCTCTTTTTTCTGTTCCACTTGTCCTCATATTCTTCTTCTTCTTCCACCTTTCCTATTGTGCACCCCCCACGATCACCTCCCACCCACCATTCTCTCTCTCTCTCTCTCTCTCCCTCTATATACCTTTATAAAAACCTTGTTTCCATGGCAGAAGAGATCGGACCAGAAAAGAAACAACCACTGGCCGAAATGACCGAGGACAAGCACAAAAAAGATACCCCCATGGCTTCCCCCTACGCGCCTAAACAAGTAGGCCGTGCCTTGTGCTCGTGTATGGTTTTCTTCCTTTTGCTAGTAGGTATCATAGCCCTGGTAGTGTGGTTAGTGTATCGTCCCCACAAGCCAAAGTTCACAGTTGTCAGCGCGGCCATCTATTATCTCAACACCACGGCCCCACCGTTCCTGTCCGTCACCATGCAGTTCACCATCGTCACTAGAAACCCCAACAAACGAGTCTCCATCTTCTACGACCAGCTTTCAGCTTTCGTGTCGTACAAGAACCAGGCGATCACGCCGCCAGTGATGCTGCCACCTCTGTGTCATCGAAAGCACAGCACGGTGGCGCTGTCGCCGGTACTGGGCGGGGCTGCCGTGCCAGTTTCGGTGGAGGTGGCAAATGGGTTGGTGATGGACGAGACTTATGGGGTGATGGGTTTGAGGCTGGTTTTGTTAGGGAAGCTGAAATATAAGGCTGGGGCTATAAGGACTGGGCATTATGGGATATATGTGAAATGTGATATGTTGGTTGGGGTGAAGAAAGGCTTTGTGGGCCAAGTGCCATTGCTTGGATCTCCAGAGTGCAAAGTTGATATATAAAGCTTAACATTGTATATTTTGGCTGTTCTTTCTTCTTTTTATCATGTTGTTTTTAGTCTGTTCTGTAAACCTTTTACCTGCCAATCTATAATAATGATACTTAAAGGCAGATTAGTTTTGCTCTAGGCAATGTTAGGGCAAAAAAATAAAAATAAAATGAAACAATGGGTTTCTTTTCTTCTGTTTGATCTAGTCCAGCCCCCACTTCCTTTAAGCAATTCCTTGCCTTGTTCAGTTGCTCCCACTTTTGGTTAGCCGTGGGCGTCAAAAAGGTATGAACAAATGGCTGCATGCGCATTTGCCTTGTTTCCGCTCTTGGCTAGCTGTGGACTTGAAAAGTGAACAAATGGCTCTTCGTGCAACAAATTAATCATCTTAGTGTGTCATACTGCCAAAAGCCAGATGGTGTATATATCTCTCATTTTGGTTTATCATTTTTTGCATGAGGCAAAATAAGTGGTGAATTTAGGAAAACTTTGCGGCAACTGTTGGTGTTGCGAATTGAACCAATATTCGTGATCAGTAGAGTTGCAATATCCCACCACCAACTACGTAAAATGTTCACTTCGAAATTGATATGCTCTACTCAAATTGCACCCACAGCCTTCTAAAACTGCTGCTTCATTCTGTATGCTGTGTGAATGAGACTAAAGAACTGCGGATAGTCTCTCTCTGCCTCTCCAAGTGCTGAAACTAGTTTATTCTTTGTGACGAAAAGTTGTACCTGGGATTTCCGTTTGTCTTATGGATTTATCCTTATCTAATTTATTGTGCATTAGTAATGAATCCTAACATTAAATACTCAAAAACAGTAACGCTAAACTGACCAAATTTTGTGATTAAATTTGAAGCACAAATAACATGACAGTTGACTTGAGTTTCTTTAATTGGTGTGATGTCATTTGGACACCAATAAAAACTTTAAATAATCAACTGTCATATCATTTGAGCTACAAATTTGGTCCTAAAATTTGGTCAGTGTAGCATTACTCTAAATAAAATACACTTTCAATTCAATAATCATAATGTATTCCTAAAGAGTAATGTTATTTGAATTTAAAATTTTGACATCATTTGTCGACTTAATTCACTATGACTTTGAAATTAACTGTAGGCTCCATCAAACNTTATTTGAATTTAAAATTTTGACATCATTTGTCGACTTAATTCACTATGACTTTGAAATTAACTGTAGACTCCATCAGATATTAGAATTTGTTTTTCATCCAATGATTTCAATAAAATCACATCATTAAATTAACAAATAAGGTCAAATTTTTAGACCTCAATAATATTATTCATTCCTAAAATACATATATAAGTAAAACTATATATTAAACAATCAGGGAAGGGAGTAGGACTTTGATACGTACACTTTTATTCCAGCCATGGGTATGGGCATCTCTAAACTTGTCTCACGGAAGCTAGATAGAATCTCTGAGTGAAGTGGTTGGACGAGGCATCAGGTTCTTCACTACAGTTAAATGATTAGCCACTTATCGACGTAGAATCTTTACAGATTACTCAATCAGTTGTTTTGAAGCAAATATCTATTTATATAATAAAGTAACTTACAATTTAAATTTTAAAAGATAAATAAAATAATTTTTACTATTCGCGGTTGCGATCATTTTAAATTTTAATTTAAAGTTAATCTAACAGNAATCTTTACAGATTACTCAATCAGTTGTTTTGAAGCAAATATCTATTTATATAATAAAGTAACTTACAATTTAAATTTTAAAAAATAAATAAAATAATTTTTACTATTCGCGGTTGCGATCATTTTAAATTTTAATTTAAAGTTAATCTAACAGTTAATATTAAAACTCCAAATTTAATAGAAACAAATAAGCCTCTAAGAGTGTGTTTAGAGTAATTTTTTAAAAGTGTATTTAGAAATTATTTCTTATAAATATTTTTTTAAAAAAAAGTGTTTGAAACCGCCCCACCATTACCTCTATCACCACCACTACCACTGCCATTGCCACCACCACCACTGCCACTACCGCCGTCGCTACCACCACCGCCATCAGCACCACCACTGTCACTGCTGCCACCGCAACCACCATCGTCGTCACTTCCACCCCACCACCACCACGATTATTGCCACTCACCATAACCAACACCATCTCCTACCACCAACACTGTTGCCCACCACATCTCACCCCCACTATAAATCGATGTTTAAATTCTTTTATTTATTTTTTATGTTTGTAATTTAATTTTGGATATGAATATAAATATGTTTATTGTTTATCATTTTTTATTAATCTGTACCTTCAGGTACAAACAATAACTAATATATATATATCAGAGAATCTCATGACCCTATGGAGAACAACATAAATGCTACTTTTGAACTGAATTCTTAGACCATTAATTTTATGAAACATCCTAAAGTTTGTTTTTATGTGGGCAGCCCCTGTTCCACAATTAGGATCAGCGGTACTAGTGTTAGAGGTAGGGTAAAACCACAATATAGTTTAGTTTCCACATTCCTTCCTTATTCTAATTTGAGTGGCAGACCACAGAATGGTGCATTGGGAACCTTGGTTGGGTTTTGCACTCTATGTTACGGACATGGAGAGCGAGATCACAAGTACTTTTTGTACATTGACCCTCAATTTTCACTCGATCTCTTATTATAAATTGAAGTAAGATTAATTTGTTATTTATAAATGGATCTCACATGCTAGATTTGAATGAAATTAAGTGAGATTAGATCCACGATGAAGGTACTATTCTCTCTCTCTCGTGTTCAGACTTTGAGACTTGAGAAGCTAAGATTTTTTACTTGTTAATTGATAAACAAGTGGACTGATATCAGTTTTGCATTTGGAGAGGACCATACTAGCTAGGCTGGGCATGTCTGGACTTACAGCCTACAACCAAGGCCCAGCTCAAGACAGAAAGAACCTGATAATTCTAAACAAACAGCAATGTCTTCTGATGATATACAAATTGATTTTTCACATTATCTGTCAAGGGACTAATAATTAATACAGTAATAAAGTGGAGAGAGACAATAACTTAAATGCGACAAGGATTTATAATGGTTCATTTAACATGACTTACGTCCACTTTGAAGGGCTAAGGTTGCCTGGATATTTTATTACTTCAAGGGTATGTAGTGAAAGCAGAGAGATACAAGCTGTCAGAGACATTGGAGAGTAGCAGATGAGCTCGATTGAGTGTGTTGCCCCCCAAGTGTTAGTGGGACTTACAATTTATAGTTGTCTCTTAACAGATTGAGGCGACTTATCAGTAACTAAAAAACTAATTTGGTGGAGCTGACACTATCTTCTGAATGGATGAGGTAGTTACGGCGCTCCCCATAAGATCTGGTCAAAAGATGACGTGGTGGTTGACTTCTTTTAAGACGGCGTGGATGAGGCTCTTGGATGACCCTTACTCCAAGGTGGCTAGGATGAGGCTTTTGGAATGACCCTTACTCTAAGTTGGTTAGAATGAGACTCTTTGAATGACCTTTACTCCAAGGTGGATAGGATGAGNAGGTAGTTACGGCGCTCCCCATAAGATCTGGTCAAAAGATGACGTGGTGGTTGACTTCTTTTAAGACGGCGTGGATGAGGCTCTTGGATGACCCTTACTCCAAGGTGGCTAGGATGAGGCTCTTGGAATGACCCTTACTCTAAGTTGGTTAGAATGAGACTCTTTGAATGACCTTTACTCCAAGGTGGATAGGATGAAACTCTTAATTTAAGTTGGGCTTATAATAGGAGTTGGGCCCTTGGGTGCTTAACCCATCATTTTCCCCCCAATGCCCTGTGTCCAAAAAAACTTGGAGGAGGGCATTTGGTTGAACTTGGATTTTGGCTGAACCCAAAATTGAAAAAACTTCGGAAGGCTCAAACACATATTTTCAGGCCTTTTTTGGACTTTTAACGATGTCCATCAAGGCCAAAGGCCATGAGCCTTGTAGGACTCGTCGTAAGCTTCGATTTGATATAATGTGGGCCCTGTTTGGAGAAACAGATCAAGAGTTACGATCAAAACAGTGTTGACCTTTCTTGGACATGGATTTCATGGAGACTTGTTTTGACTGATTCCTTTCCTTCAAGTCGAGACATCATAGTCGTTGGGCACCATAGTGAAGGTGCCATGGGCGCCGATGGCAGGCAGCCATGCAGTTCGCAAAGGAGAAACCACCATAAGGGGAGGCTCAACGTTGGAAGGGACGCCATCAAAAACAAGGGCGAGCCTTGATGACCCTCTTGGCGAGGTGCTAGGAACGTCGCATGGAGAGGCGTCGTTAGGTTAGGCGTAAAGGGTGTCGTTGACCAGAGAGGGAGCTTGGGCGATGGAGGCGTCGATGGGGGGCACTTCGGGCAAGCTCCAAAGGGTGTTCTTGAGGGCATGGCGCCATGAACATCGCTGGTTGGAGAAGGCAGTGAGGTTGGGCGCCATAGAGTTGAGGCAGGCCAAGTGACCTACGTGGGCATTGCTGGCGAGGCGGTCCAAGCAGGTGCCAAAGGCGAGGCGTCATGGACGCCTAATGCTGCGACCCTGTTGATTGTGAGAGTGGAGCTTATTTGAGTGATTGGCACAAGCGATAGAGCCTATAGACGGCGCCATCAGGTACTAGATGTGGCCAGGTGAGTGCGCAGGCAACACTGGGTGGACCAGGCATGGCAGCGGAGGTTGGGCGCCTAAAGGGGGTGCTAGGAGCGAGGCATCTAAAAGGGAGTCAAGAGACTGGGTGCTAGGAGTAGGAGAGCTAGTACCCAGGAGTAGGCGTCAAATCCTCAGTATTGGGAGTGTAGGCAAATCTTGTTTGCTCTAGGTGTTAAGCACGGAGGCGCTGTGGCAAGGAAACGATGGTGTCGGATGGCCACAAAAAGCATGTGACTCGATTGTTGACATTTCAATCTAATGTAGTCCCTCGGGTTGTAAACAAGCTGAGTTTCAAGAGTGTGCCTAGAGATGACAATAATAATGTTATTCGAATATCAAAATATCTAATATGATTATCTGAAGAAGGGGAAACACATCGGTTTGTAGAGAAATAGAGGCTGCTTGCGTGAGAGCAAAGACAAAATTTGAGGTTACTCGTGAGAGCTGCACCTTTTTGAGACCGAGCTTTTAGCGACCTATAAGAGAGCCCCTAAGTTAGAGATATAAGCTGTCTGCTTGAGAGCAGAGCAGAAGCCAAACTTTTGTCAACCCATGAGAAAGCCCCTAAACTTGAGGTATAGGCTGTCTGCTTGAGAGCAGAGCAGAGATCAAACGTTTGGCAAAAAGCCACTCAGTTGGAGATATAGGTTGCCTGCTTGAGAGCAGAGCAGAGGCCAAGCTTTTGGCGATCCGCGAGAGAGCCGCTCAGATGAAANCATGAGAAAGCCCCTAAACTTGAGGTATAGGCTGTCTGCTTGAGAGCAGAGCAGAGACCAAACGTTTGGCAAAAAGCCACTCAGTTGGAGATATAGGTTGCCTGCTTGAGAACAGAGCAGAGGCCAAGCTTTTGGCGATCCGCGAGAGAGCCGCTCAGATGAAAATATAGATTGTCTGCTTCAGAGCAGAGTAGAGATAGGTCAAGCTTTTGACGACCCACGAGAGAGCCGCTAAGATGGAGATATAGGATGTTTGCTTGAGAGCAGAGTAGAGATAGGCCAAACTTTTGGTGACCTGTAAAAGAGCCGCTAAGTTGTAGACATAAGCTGCCTACTTGAGAGCAGAGATAAGCTAAGCTTTTCGTGACGAGATGATTCTCCTCACCTGGATCTATTGATTTCCTCAGCATTTATATATTTTTGAGCTTTTGCCAATAGTTCTGGCATGCTCTTTTGTGGTTGCTTCATTACTGAAAAAAAAAAATTCGATGAGCGGAGGCCTCCTAGAAAGGCGATCATGGTGACTTTGTCATTGAGCTCCTCGATTTGGAGGACCTCCTCGTTAAAATGAGTAAAGTAACTCTTTAGACTCTCATCTCGATCCTGTTTTACGCTAAGCAGGTGAGTGATAGGCTTCTGCTGGCGGCGTCCACCAATGAAATGTGCCACAAGGATCTGCTTAGTTTGGCGAAGGAGACTATAGAGGGTGGGATGAGTTTGGCAAACCACTGTCAGACAGATCCCTTCAAGGTAGTTGGAAAAGCCCTATACATGATTTCGTCAGAAACATTATGTAGCTGCATCAAAGACTTGTAAGTCTCAAGGTGATCAAGTGGGTCTTTTGGGTCGTCAAAGGTTTCGACAAATGACATTTTGAACTTTTGGGAAAAAATGTAGTTTGCCACATCTAGTACAAAAGGTGTGTCAATTCGTCATAACAATTCTACTTACAAGGTACTCCACAGTTTATGGTCTTTGTGCCTTCATGGCATTGAAGACGTTGCCTAGTTGATTCTATACTTCTTTGTNCCACAGTTTATGGTCTTTGTGCCTTCATGGCATTGAAGACGTTGCCTAGTTGATTCTGTACTTCTTTGTTTTTTTGTCCCAGTGATTTGGGGCTCCTTTAAAATTGTCATGAAAATGGCTCCTATGCTCCACACTACGATTCTTGCCTTCATTTTCTTGAAAATAAGGGTCTCCACCATAGGAAGAGGGAACTGGAGGAGGAGGTGGAGCTCCCTTGTGGTTTTAACGAGGGGCTCCCCTATATGGGGCGTCCAAGTGGGAAGCTCCTTGATGCCCAGGGCGTGGAGCTCCCCTAGCTTGATGCCCTTTGGAATGTGCTCCTCCTTGTTATCCAGCGAGCATCAGTTTGTAGGATCTATTGATTTTGAGTCACTAGTTGCTGCATTGTTTCCAACATCAGCTGTGCATTCGGAACAGAGTTGGTTGGTGGATTGGCAACCTCCTCCTCTCGTAGTGGATTGCCTTTGGGCTGATTCATGGATTTGGTGACTCTCACTCCCCCTCTTACACTCTTTCTCTGTCCTGCCCCAATCTTTGCCTAAAATCTCGCCCCTTTATCTCACACAATCTCCCCCATGTCTCTTCTCTCTCTCCCCATCGAGAGAGAGAAAGAAGACACAAAATTCCCCAAAATTCATTTTTTTCTATCTCCCCCATCAACTCAACATGCTAGACACCAGCTCTTTTATCCTCATTCTCTTACTCATAGAGCAACCAAAGCTCAAGGTAACTAGAATTAATTCCCTCCCTCTCCGTCTCATTCTCCACCAAAGCTCAACACATATNGCTCTTTTATCCTCATTCTCTTACTCATAGAGCAACCAAAGCTCAAGGTAACTAGAAGTAATTCCCTCCCTCTCCGTCTCATTCTCCACCAAAGCTCAACACATATTCTGAGCACCCTCTTTTTTTGTCGCTCTAGGATACCGAAGTGGAGGGCATAGAGGAATTGTTGGTGACGAATGGTGGGGCACTACGCAAGTTTCGATTGCCCTTGACGGCACTAAGCATTGGNCATTCTCTTACTCATAGAGCAACCAAAGCTCAAGGTAACTAGAAGTAATTCCCTCCCTCTCCGTCTCATTCTCCACCAAAGCTCAACACATAATCTGAGCACCCTCTTTTTTTGTCGCTCTAGGATACCGAAGTGGAGGGCATAGAGGAATTGTTGGTGACGAATGGTGGGGCACTACGCAAGTTTTGATTGCCCTTGACGGCACTAAGCATTGGTCTCTCTCTCTCTCTAATGTACCTAGTGATGGCTACATCAACACGTCACTCTTTATCTGGCATGGTTATTTCTCAAGTAATAATTGATCTGTCATTCACACCCTCTCCCTTGCTCACTCTCTATTTCTCTTCCAAAGCAAAATCCATATTCGATTGATTCCAATTAGCAGCTTTCTTTCTCCAATTTTTCCTTTGGGTGCTACAGAGTTATTGATTGGGTTTAGACAATTTAAAGCTTGAATTGCATGTGAATTTTATGGGGTTTTGGCCCAAATTTCTAAAATTTTGTTTGTTTCTTTAAGAGGTATTTCAACATTGAGCACTTATACTTGGACTGGTTTGTTGTTTTGGCTACTCCTATGGTATGTTATAGATGATGATTCCTTGAAGTTATTTAAGTGTGAGTCTGTTTATTGGTTAAGAGTCTGTTACTGTAGGGGATTTATCCGCGCGTTCGGGATGTTCTACCCCCACCGAAGGATTTTGGCTGACCTGGCGTAAGCCTATGCTTTGTACCAGTAGCCTTTACCTCTCGGTCTCCGCGGGCACGCTTGTCCTACATCGACGGAGAGTCGTCTCCCCCCTTCGCATTTAAGCCTTGGCACTATATGGAGGTGGTACCCACTAGCACTTGAGGGGGGCAGTTAGCGGGACTCTAGATGGCTCTATAGCCCCCGGGTTGACACGTGGAATAATGAAGTCGTTGAAATATCCAAATGGTGTTGAGGAGGTAAGTCGAGGTATGGTGACATGGAGCAGCCGAGTACGACAGCTGGCATCGTATTTAATGTNAGCCCCCGGGTTGACACGTGGAATAATGAAGTCGTTGAAATATCCAAATGGTGTTGAGGAGGTAAGTCGAGGTATGGTGACATGGAGCAGCCGAGTACGACAGCTGACATCGTATTTAATGTGATGTGACCCCTTATTTATGACAAAAAAAGTGATAGTGACAAGGCAAATAAATGCGCGCCTACCAGCACCTGCCCTCTGGGACTCTAAGCCTACTGTCATGATGGCTAAGCATTAATGACTGATGCACCGAGACGACGCGATCAGCTCTCCCGAGAAACTGTTCCCCCCGAGTATTCAATGCTCAGTTGATGTTGGATGCCGATCTAGAGATTTGTGTACTCAGGGAGTGGCATAAATGCTCGGCATTTGGCCGAGTATTTACCCTATTTTTCAAGCATTCAATAGGAGGAGACGTGAATAGAAAATACTCATTGCACGAGAAATGATGTGTCAGATGTAAGATGTCCAGATAGGACTGGAGATCTTTGACAATCATTGCTAATTCAGGTATAAATACTCCTAAAAAAAATGGACAAAGGTACGCAAACTTGAATCAGAAAAATAGTCCATTGAGCAAACCCTTCGACCTTATACTGACTTAAGCTTCAGAGGGGATTAGCCGGGCGCTCGTCTGACCCCCTTTTTTCTGACCCTGTTGTTTCAGGTTCACCAACTTGGAGATCGCTGTCTCATACTATTGCAGGAATCATCCCGTACAATTTGGTGCCGTTTGTGGGAACGAAGACATTTTTTCCGGTAGTGATCATCTAATGGTGAACACTTGATCTCAAGGTGAGGGAGCAGGTGTATGGGCCAGGAACGCAGAGCCCGTCCGGCTTCCAATGGTTCTGGAGTCGGTGTTCATTGGGCCAATCAGNCGAAGACATTTTTTCCGGTAGTGATCATCTAATGGTGAACACTTGATCTCAAGGTGAAGGAGCAGGTGTATGGGCCAGGAACGCAGAGCCCGTCCGGCTTCCAATGGTTCTGGAGTCGGTGTTCATTGGGCCAATCAAATGGGGTGGGGCATTCTTCGCAAAGAACACTCCCTATGGATCAGGGCCTTGGGGGGCGTGACCTCATGACCCATGACATCGTTGAAATGGTGGAAAAGCGGAAAGGCAAACGCATTAAGCAGCTCAAAAGGAAAAA